CATCTGCTCTTCCTTCCTTCCTTTCCATGACATGTGGCAGAGAAATTATGTGTCCACAAGCCATATGGGCATCAAGTCTCACAGGAAAGAGGTGTCAGGCTTATACGTGATATTAGTGTTCTTGTGTCTTGATGAGTGAAGTCGCTGAAGTTTGCAATTACCTGATTTCGTATACAAAATTACTCATTTCATAATATCTGGTTGCATTATATACTGAACCCCATTCTTTCTCCACCCCAGGTTCTGCACCTGCTCAGAAAGTACCATATTTTTCGCTCTATAGGACGCACTTTTCCCCCTCGAAAAATTAAGGGGAAATGTTTGTACATCCTATGGAGCGAATGCAGGCTCCTTGGCTTCAGCGATAGCAACGCGAAGCCTCTGAAGCACAGAGGGAGCGCTCCCTCCGCGCTCCTTGGCTTCACGTTGCTTTTGCTCTCCAGGCTTCAGGGAGAGCCGCCTGAAGCCTTTGGAGCACAGTGGGAACTCGCGCTATGCTCCGAAGGCTTCGGGTTCCTTTTGCTGAAGCCGGGAGAGCAAGACTCTCCTGGCTTCAGCAGAGAGGGAGAGCTGCACAGCGCCCCTTCAGTGAAGCGGGAGGAGAAATGGAAGGGGCTCCGTTTCTCCTGCCGCTTCACTGAAGGGGCGCTGAGCAGAGAGGGGAGAATTTTTTTCCCCTGTTCTCCCTCTCCTATGGTCCGGTGCGTCCTATGGTCCGGTGCGTCCTATAGAGTGAAAAATACGGTAAATTTAGATTTTTGCACGGTCAGCCACACATCCAAAGCCACCTAAATTGTAAGCTCACGAACACAATTTGTTTAATAATCAAATGCTCTAGAGATGCTTGCGGATTGCTTTGAACACCTCCCAACCAAGAAGCCTTTGGGGGGAGTATATTTTTTTATCCGGGTCAGTTCTCATGACTGTGGGATGTCAGTGATAGAGTGGAAGATGAGACCTAAATATCTGAACTATTGAACCTGCTCCAAATTCTAATCTTTGACAACCCATTTGCTCAGGGAAATGCACTTAGGGAAACACACACACATTATATTTGCTTTATTGAAATTAATTTTCAGTAGGTTCTCAGTACAATGGTACCTGAATACTCTCAGTAAACATTTTGAACCTGTCTTGGAGAAAGGTAAGAGAACCACACCATCTGCATAAAGTAGAAGGATCACTCTAGTCGCTTCCAGTTTGGGGCAGTAGAAATCTGAGGAAAGGCAGACAGTAGACAAATCGTTAGAAAATAATTTAAAGAATGTAGAGGCCAGTATGCCACCTTGTTGAACCCTGCTGGTAACAGAAATGGGCTCAGTTAAATTCCTTTCTAGGCCATATCTCCCTTGAAGAGAAGCATTTGTATAATGACAAAGGATAAGAAAGAGGAACCATTTCTCTGTATCATTCCAATTTTTAGCATAGGTGCTACTGTAGCGAGCACAGAAAGAGGAGCCTTTTGTTGACAGAGGAAGAGCATAACTTAGCCCAAAGTCTGTCTGAAGTCGCATTCTATTTTGAGCTGTGGGAGGAGAAAGAAATTCACTGTTAGCAAGGTAAGCTGATAGCTAAACATTATCCAGGTAGCTGAAGAGGCTGGACAGGAAAACCATAGAAGATGAATGTGAAAAATCAGTAGCCCTTCAGATGTTGCTGGACATCAACTCCTACTACTACTATTATTGTTGTTGTTGTTGTTGTTGTTGTTGTTGTTGTTGTTGTTGTTATACTGCCCTTCATCCAAAGAACATCCCAAGCTAACATGACCAATAGGGATAATATTGGGAGTGGTTAGTCAACATGATTTGGACAGTCACAGATTCCCCATCCCTGCCATAGAGATTGAAACCATGCAGCAAAAAGTATAATATATTACTTTCCACTGACCAGCCAGATGCTTCAAGGAAGCTGCCAAACATCATGGTAACCCCAATATTGCTTCCGAATATTCATAGGTCTATGTTGTATGGTTTTAGTTTGGAGCTCAGCCGAGAGGTCTTTCCTTAGAGAGCCAGTGTGGTGTAGTGGTTAAGAGCGGTAGACTCGTAATCTGGTGAACCGGGTTTGATTCCCCGCTCCTCCACATGCAGCTGCTGGGTGACCTTGGGCTAGTCACACTTCTCTGAAGTCTCTCAGCCTCACCTCACAGAGTGTTTGTTGTGGGGGAGGAAGGGAAAGGAGACTGTGAGCTGCTTTGAGACTCCTTAGGGTAGTGATAAAGCGGGATATCAAATCCAAGCTCCTCCTCCTCCTCCTCCTCCTCCTCCTCCTCCTCCTCCTCCTCTTCTTCTTCTTCTTCTTCTTCTTCTAGAACAAGTTTTGCTTCCATTCTACATGCATTTGTAACCTACCTTTCAATTGCTGCTTTAGACTGAGCCGTTCTTGAAAATGCTTCAAATGGTTCATGTTATATGGAAGGCAGCATCTCTTGTGATGGCTGGAGCATATAGGAGAGAACATATCCCTCCAATCTTAGTCTGACTCCATTGTCAACATTATTGCTTCTAAGCTCAGTTCAATATGCTTACCATTTAATACTGAGTTCCTTAGAACAGGAATGGGGAACTTGTGACCCTCCAAAGATTGTTGGACTACACTTCATTTCATCCCTGACCATTGGGCATGGCCTGTGGGATTAGTGGGAGTTAGAGCCCACCAACAAATGGAAAAGCACAAGGCCGCCACCATAGCTATAAAAAGGTAAAGGGACCCCTGACCATTAGGTCCAGTCGTGGCTGACTCTGGGGTTGCAGCGCTCATCTCGCTTTATTGGCCGAGGGAGCCAGTATACAGCTTCCAGGTCATGTAGCCAGCATGACTAAGCTGCTTCTGGCGAACCAGAGCACCACATGGAAACGCCGTTTACCTTCCCGCCATAGCGGTACCTATTTATCTACTTGCACTTTGATGTGCTTTCGAACTGCTAGGTTGGCAGGAGCAGGGACCGAACAACGGGAACTCACCCCATCGCGGGGATTCGAACTGCCGACCTTCTGATCGGCAAGTCCTAGGCTCTGTGGTTTAACCCACAGTGCCACCCACGTCCCACCATAGCCATAGAATGCAATATATTCTGTTTACCTTTGTGAGCTCATTGAAAACACCTTGCAACTTCACATTCCCTCATTTATGACTAGTTCTGTAAAATCGTGGCACTCACAATTTGGAACTGTCTCCTCTGGGAATTAGATTAGCTACTTTGCTGTATATTTTTCACAGTTTGATGTAAACATCTTATTCTTTTTGTTTGCCAGGATGTGTTGATTGAGCTGGTTTTTAATTACCTTTGCGGTTGTTTTTATTTTGTTATTTAGTTGCGTTGTCTGACAAGTACAAAAGAGCAATACATTAACCAATATATTATTAACGTTACAGTGGGCACTCATTTCCATTTCAAAACAGAAATACCCATTTTCACAGCCACATTCCTTTTTCAGAGTTATCAGGGAAGAAGTTGCAAATCATAGCATCAGTAAACAATTGAGTTTGGCGTGTCTTTTACACATCTCCTTTTCAGAGGGAAACAGATACCAGCTTCATTAGCAGCTCTAATTTGCATGGGTAATTTGCCCATTATAAACTACTGCCATACTATGAAAAACAACCCCTTAATAAGTCATACATGGGCATACTTGCATCGTGATGCTAGTTGAAGTTTGGCTACTGTCAACAAAGAAACCTTAAAGGTAAAGGGACCCCTGATCATTAGGTCCAGTCGTGACCGACTCTGGGGTTGCAGTGCCCATCTCGCTTTATTGGCCGAGGGAGCAGTGCACGGAAACGCTGTTTACCTTCCTGCCGGAGCGGTACCTATTTATCTACTTGCACTTTGACGTGCTTTCAAACTGCTAGGTTGGCAGGAGCAGGGACCGAACAACGGGAGGTCACCCTGTTGCGGGGATTCGAACCGCCGACCTTCTGATTGGCAAGTCCTAGGCTCTGTGGTTTAACCCACAGTGCCACCCACGTCCCAAAGAAACCTTAGAATCATAGAATTGTAGAGTTGGAAAGGACCATGAGATTCATCTATTCAGGGCCGTGTTAAGCATATCCTGCACCGTGGTGCAAATATCTCTCTGGTGGACCCCCCCAATTTCCCAGAGTTGTCAACCTTTTTTGGGGGGGGAACTTTGGTCCGGCTCATTTACATCGCGTGGTCTGATGTGCGCTCAGCGCTGCACGTAAGTAAGAGGAGCCCAGATCACAGCCCAGATGGCCTCCCATGAAGCCACCCTCTAAGTGCCCGGTGCCCCTTACTTGCCTCCATCCAGGGAAGTCTGTGCCACAGGAGGGCCAGCAAGCAGATCATGTGGTTTTCCGGCTGTACCATCCTCGCTCGGCGCCGAGATCGCACAAGGCGCTTCCCTGCTCCGCTCGCAGACTCCACAGGGAGGCGCGCAGGCAGTGATGCGGCCAGTGAGGGGTGCCCCGCGCCTGCTCCTGATCATGCACGTCAGGCATCCAGGCAGCCCCGGTGGAAGGGGACATGAAGGGGCTTCCCTGAGCCGGATGCAGCACGCTCCAATGGGTGGCTGAGAGGAGAGGAGCAGGCTGCCCCAGAGCAGGGAAGGGACTCTCCTTCCTGGACACTCAACCTGTGGCGCCCTCCAAAATCTGGTGCCCCGTGCCACTAACGTCTATGGGTAAGACGCGCCTGCAGCCAGTACAACCCCCAGCAATGCAGGAATTGGCTGCTTACGCTGCTCTGAGTAGGCAGCTGTTGTGGCTCCTCAAAGGCTGCCCTCCATTCCCAGGGCAGTGAGGACTCACATCCCAGCAGCCAGCCATTGTAAATTCCCTGGCTGGCCACATTGTAGAGTGAAAAGCCCACCAAACATAAAAGTTTAAATTGCCCAATTGTGGGCATCCAAGGCGGAGGAGCCTGGATGGTGAACCTGAGCACTGAAGTTCTCACTCTAGTCCGTTGGCCATGGTCAAAGGCTAACTGCTCCTGGTACTTGCAGTTGGAAAGGTCCGTGAAGATCATGGAGGAATCTTGTTGCCCAATGTGGGACTTGAACCCCAAACCCTGAGATGAAGAGTCTCACACTTTGCCAACTAAGCATCCCTTCTTAACACATTGTATGCTTGGAATATTCTGTCTCTAGGCAATCTAACGAAGCAGTAAGTGGGTTCAATTTAATGCCCATCATCCCTTACCCTGGACCTGATGGGAGTTGGAGTCCAACAATAGCTAGAGGGAAGAAAATTTTCCATTCCTGATTTATATTGCCCTAAGTGAAGAACAAGAGCCCATGACACAAAACATGCATCATCATCATCATCATCATCATCATCAACAGCAACAACCCAAATCAAACCTACAAATGGATCTTTTGCAAATTTTAATTAGTTGGTAGATTTTCTGCAAATATCTGCTGCTCAAGATCCGGGAGTGGAATTAAAATAGAATTTTACTGGTGAGCTTTTGCTGAACCCTCATTATCCTGATAAGTCCAGAATAATTCACTGTTCCTGAAATATGCAGCTAAATGTCAGGCATTGATTTCCTCCTACCCCACCCCAGTTAATCTGTTATTTCATAGGTACTAAGATGTGAGATCTAAAACATGAATTTACAATGATGTGAACAATGATGTGAACAAGTAACCTCATAACTTTTCTTAAATTCATTGAAAAGCTGAAGAAAATCTGTCAGTGCTCGGTACCCCCAGTTAAAACACACCCCTGAGTAGATAAATCACAGGCAGTAAAAGAAGGCACCCCTCTCTTGAAGGAAGCAGGCAACCCTCCAATCCCCCCCCAACATATCAATGTATAATTTGAAAAATTGGGAGAGAAAGTGGGGTGCTGGTAGGCACCATGGTGCAGGGATGCTGAGGGCACCATGTCCACAAGTGTTTATTTGGGACATCATTTTTACACATAAATAAGCATTATACAGTTGAATATGCCTATAAGTATTAGGTTTGCATGCCAAAATATATAGCTCTGCGAGTGTGGTTTTCTCCTGATTGAAGTGCAGAGTGTTTGAGGACTGGGACATTTGCAGGGAAACTAAAATGCTTCTTTACAAAGCTATTGTCCTACCAACCTTACTGTATGCTTGTGAAACATGGAACACTTATAAACACCATCTCCAGCTCCTCAAAAGATTCCATCAACAGTGTCTCCAAAAAATTTTACACATCACTTGGGAAGACAGGCGAACTAATACCAGTGAAGTGGAAGAAGCAAAGATCACCAGTGTTGAAGCAATGATTCTTCAACATCAACTTTGTTGGACCGGTCATGTTCTGTAGATGCCTGATTATCATCTTCCAAACCAACTACTCTATTTCGATCTTAAGAAAGGAAAACAGAATGCTGGTGGTCAACAAAAGAGGTTTAAAGACTGTTGCAAGGCAATTTTTTTTAAAAAAATGTAGTATAAAACCAACAACTGGGAAACACTGGCCAGCGAGCGCTCCAATTGGAGAACAGCCTTTACCAAAGGCTTTGAAGACACTCAAACTCAGGATGCAAGGGAGAAATGTGCTAAGAGGAAGGCACGCTTGGCAAATCCACACTGTGATCAACTCCCACCCAGAAACCAATGTCCCTACTATGGAAGGCTGTGTGGATCCAGAATTGACCTCCACATTCACTTATGGACTCATTGTTAAAACCGTGTTTATGGAAGACAATCTTACTCAGCTACGAGTGATCGCCGAAGAAGAAGAAGAAGAAGAAGAAGAAGAAGAAGAAGAAGAAGCATGCCAAATTGCTTTGTATAACAATCCAGCTGACTGGTACTTGTTGTGTGATACACAACAGCAACCATCAAGAATGCTCTTAAAAGGCTACTTTATTGTTGCAGTTTAATTTTGAAACTATTCAAAAGTTGGCCTTCAGTCTGAGAAGTTAGAGACATGCTTTGGAATTTTGGGAGAAACATTGATGTTGTCTTTTATCTTCAAAGTTTTTTGTGTTTTGTTTTTTTTAAAGGAATGTAGTGGCTTATTCTGTGTGAAGGCTTGCAGTTGTTGTTTTTTATGTTGCCCAGGGGAAAGGATTTAATGGACAAACTGTGGGGGAGTCCAAAGGTGTAAAATAAGTGCAGTTGACAATGTGCCTGCACACTTTTATCACAGGGATTTGCCACCCACTACTCAAATGCGCATGTGGCAATTTCTTATAACAAAGCTCAGATGTGAACTTGCATAAAATGAAGCTTAGCTGGGCATGCCTTCTCTCCTCCCTTTACTAATATATCTAATCTCAGTTTTGAAAGAAAACTGTCCCTACTTTGCAGAATGGCATCTTGTAGGGGGAAGGGTGGAAGAGAAGGCCATCTGTGCTGTCAAGAAAAAGGATTTTGAAAACGGCACATTTTTAGAAAGATGAAACTTTTTAAAATCTCACTTTCTTTTCTTCGTCTGAACCATATTAACTGGAAACGATTGCAGCCCACTGGTTTACAATAATGTTGTATTTGCAGAGGAGGACTGTAAATATTAATGTATAGTAAAGGTTTGTTCTTAAAAAGCTGTGTTGCATATTTATGAACACGTCATGCTGAATTGGGAGAAGGGAATGGGGCCAATCCACACCCAAGCTAGAAGAGTAAAGGAAGAGGCAGGCCTCAGCAGAAACAGAACATTTATCTATTTATTTGTTTATCCATTTATATGTTCTGTCCTTCTCCTGCCTACGCACCACTCAGGGTGACTAACAACAGTTAAATATACCCATAAAATACAAGTTTTTGTGTGTGTTTTTTTAAATAGTAAAAGAAAAATAAAGACAAGTACAACAGAGGAAAACTAAAAGCACTGGATGAAAACTTATTGATCCAATAAAACAGAAAGGAAGAAAGGTATGTGAGTTTTGTCTATCAGGTATGAAAAGTATTTGATTCCCCCACTAGTAATCTGAACTGGCAGAGTCCAAGTCCAGTAACAGACAAAGCACATGAGGTTGCTGATCTTGTCGTTTGGGTCTAAGACTTCAAACAGCTTACAATATTTCATGGAGGTGGCTGACTGGAATTATGAATTAAAATGCATTCTTCGTGGTGATAGCAATCCCCACAGACCACCTCCAGCACCTTTACTGTTGCTGTTGGCTCCCTACTTTTTATTTTATTTTATATTAAAAAGGTAAAGGACCTTAGGATGGTTAAGTTCAGTCAAAGCCGACTATGGGGTTGTGGAGCCCATTTCACTTTCAGGCCAAGGGAGCCGGCGTTTGTCCACAGATAGCTTTCCGTGTCATGTGGCCAGCATGACTAAACTTCTGTGCAACGGAACACCGTGAAGGAAACCAGAGCGCAAGGAAATGTTGTTTACCTTCCTACCTTCCTGCCACAGCAGTACCTATTTATCTCCTGGAGTACTTTTGAACTGCTAGGTTGGTAGGAGCTGGAACAGAGCAACGGGAGCTCATCCCATCGTGGGGATTTGAACCACCAACCTTCCGATCAGCAAGCCCAAGAGGCTCAGTGGTTTAGACCACAGCGCCACCCGTGTCCCTAGACATTATGTAAGGCCTGTTACTAAACCAATTCCTCTTGGATTTTTGTTCTGAACTCCACAACCTGCACAGCAAATTCATTCTCATCTGTGAAAGCCTTGTTTACTCGCATGTCTATACAGTGGTACCTCAGGTTACATACGCTTCAGGTTACAGACTCCACTAACCCAGAAATAGTACCTCGGGTTAAGAACTTTGTTTCAGGATGAGAACAGAAATCGTGCGGCGGTGGTGCAGCAGCAGCGGGAGGCCCCATTAGCTAAAGTGGTGCTTCAGGTTAAGAACAGTTTCCGGTTAAGAACGGACCTCCAGAATGAATTAAGTACATAACCAGAGGTACCACTGTAATGCAATGTCATCTGATGGTGTTTAATGCTGAGATATTATTTGCCTGGAGGGTAGAAAGAGCTGCTGGAAAATGTATAAAAGAGTCACCCACTTCTAATGGCTCCCAGTCTACACTAGTGATGTGCTGAGCTACTGTAGATGATGGGGTCCATGTGTACATTGTGTCAGGTTTCATGATGGAAGAAAGATAGGATATAAATGTAAGAAAACAAATATAAATCATACACCATGGGTTGTACAGTTAGAATTTTCTACCTGTACTATTTTTGCCAGACAAGGACTGCTGTCCATTTTTGATCTTCTCCCATTGATAGAGATATCCTTAGCTCAGGGATCAGTGGGTAGATAAAATTATAGCATATCTGTCTAGAAAATCTGCTTTCTTCAAGAGATTGCCTGCTCACAAACCTGATCTCGACCATCCATCTATCACCGACTTCAATCTTCCAGTGGAATGGACTAATTCATCACAGCTATGCTGATGACACTCGGCTTTATCTGTCTTTACCTTCTGATGCTACCAGGCCATTATCCTAGCTGTAGGACATTTCAGATACACACAAAAAATGCCCTAATAACAACTTATCTGATGGGCTCCATGTCAACGTAGATTCTCAGTTCTAGAAGTACATCCAGCTTGCCAAGGTTGTCGGGAACTGGAATGCAATGATTTGCTTGTCGTCGCGCCCCCACCCTGAAGCACCTGCTCCAAAATAAATCTGAAACCAAGGGGACATTTCTAAAACTACAACTTCAACATATTCATGATCATTATTTAATCTTGCCATCTTCAATGGTCAGGGCATTTTTTTATCCCACTGAGGGTTCCTGCCCTTCTCTGAAAGTAGAACAGGGTCTTGTCTCCATCATGCTAACTTCAGAGAGCATGAGAAATCAATGAGATCTCTTGTTGCATTTCACATCCCTCTGTGATCCAACCCACTGCTTCTGCTTGGGTCTCCCACAGTTGTGGTGGACCTTACATATACACATGATCAACTCCCACCCGGAAACCTATGTCTCCACTGTGGAAGGAAGCTTGGATCCAGAATTGGCCTCCACAGTCACTTTTGGAAACACGGTTAAGACTGAATTCATGGAAGACAATCTTCCATGAATACAGACATCTACACAGACATCTGTGTATTCCATGAATACAGACATCTACACAGAGCACCTCTGAGGGTCAAGAATTCTCTGAAGAGATCTTACATCCCATTATATACAATGAAATAAAAGAAGATG